GGCGCCAATCAGCTGTGACGTCACAAGCCTGGAAAGGGAGGAGAATTAAAGCGGGGGCGGCGTGCTCGGGGAGGAGGCAGAGCAGAGGTGAGCTAGGGTGGGGAGCTGCCGCACGGCTCTCTGGGGGGGAGCTGCCATGGGGGGGTGACTCAGGGCAGAGGGGGGGCAGAGAGCTGCTGCAGGGCTGGGGGGGGGTGCAAGGTGGAAGTTTCGCCTAGGGTGCGAAACTTCCTTGCACTGGCCCTGCCTATGGGAGCCACCCAACAGATCATATGCCAGTGACATTGTGCGGATCATTGTTGCAGGTGAGGGGCCCGGCTCGGCATCCCCGCTCCCAGCCAGACCCTTGGTGAGTGTTTGCCCTGATGGGATGTTCAGAGCCGGGCTCCGCCCTGAGCCCTGGGTCCAGCAGACAGGACACCTGGCCGGGGACCCAGAGAGGCAGCAGTTACTGGTGGCTGCTGTGCACTCATCCGGGAGGAGATACTGGCTAGATGAGCCCATGAGGGGTCAGGGATGGGAAGGGGGGACACTGGGCTGGGGGGCCACTTAAGTAGATAGATGGATACAGAAGGGTGCTCTGGGTTTAGGTACGCGGGCAGTTTCAGGCGTAGCTCCCAGGAATCTCTGGATCTCTGAGAGGTTCCTCTGGCTGGGTTTTCTCCCAGGGACTCCGTCTCTGTGCGGTGAGGATGGGGCGCAATGACTGTGCCGGGGTCTGTCTCATGGCCTGCCTCCTTCTCACTGCAGAGACCTACTACCCCAAACCCTCCAGCTCCCTGCGCCCCAGCGGAGGGGGGTCGCCCTGAGGGGAGCTGTAACCATCTGGCATCTGGTTTGGCACCAGAACGTGAGGTTCCTTCTGTACAAAGATGGAAACCCGACCATGCTGCAGGACGTGGAGACAGCTGGGGAGGTGGCTGAGTTTCCCGTCCGCAACGTGAGCTGGAGAGATGCAGGAAGCTACAGCTGCCGATATAGCACACAGGGCCAGTGCAAGGATATTTTGCACCCTAGGCGAAACTTCCACTTTGCGCCCCCCCACCCCAGGGGCCAGCTGTGCCCAGGGGCTGCTCCCCAGAGCAGGTTCCCCCCTCCCAGCCCCCTGATCTCCCCTGGAGAGTGCACAGCACCCCCACAAGCCCTCCCCACCCCGGCAGTCCCCGCTCAGAGTCCACTCACTGACTTTGCCGGCCTTGGGCCGCTGCAGCAGTTCGGCAGGGAGGAGACGCCTTCTGGAGGCACCAGAGAGCCAGAGCGTCGGCTTGTGGGGGCGGCAAGCCCCAGCCATGGAGGAGCCAGTGTGGCACAGGGGGGCAGCAGCCCTGCAAAAGCGCTGGCGTGGCTAGCGGGGAGCAGCCGCGCTCCCCGCCCCTCCTGTTTTAGGTCATATATAAAACAGATTTATTAACTCCAGAAGGAGAGCTTTTAAGTGGTTATAAGGAGCAGGTGCAGAGATCAGAGTTGGTTGCTTAAGAAATAAAAATGTATTTGCAGTCTAAGTTCTACAAACGAAACAGGATTTGAATCAGGCAGTGTCTCCCCCGTCAGATGGGACAAGCAGGTTACAGATCCTCAATACACAGACTGAACTCCATCCCAGCCTCCAACCACCCTTCCCCGGTTCAAAGTCTTTGTCCTCCAGATGTTCCTCCAGATGTTGAGTTGTGGGGAAGAGAAGCCCAGGGGTTATGTCCCTTCCCCTCTTCTATATTTTTTTTCCAGCTTGCTGGAAAGATCTTTACTGTGATCTGGGAATCAGGCAGTCCCCATTGGTCCAGCAATCTCCATTGTACACAGTCTCTGGGATAGTGGATTCTTTCCTTGGGGCGTGTTGATGAGCCATTAACAGCGTCTGGCTGGTTCTCTGTTGCAGTTGAAAGGGTGTCTGTGGGCATCTCTCAACCCCACGACATATTTCAGTAGCACACACAGCAATGCTTCCGAACTTCCCATACAAGGACAGCACATACAGTAAATCCTCCTTTAATGTCATCCCTGTTAACGTTGTTTCATTGTTACGTTGCTGATCAGTTAGAAGCTACGTCTTCACTACCCGCCTGAATCGGAGGGTAGAAATCGATCTCTTGGGGATCGAATTATCGTGTCTTGTCAGGACGCGACAATCAATCCCCGAATTGACGCTTGTACTCCACTAGCGCAGGTAGGAGTAAGTGCCGTCGACGGGGGAGCCGCGGAGGTCGATTTTGCTGCCGTCCTCACAGCGGTGTAAGTCGGCTCAGATACGTCGAATTCAGCTATGCTATTTGCGTAGCTGAATTTGCGTATCTTAAACGCCCCCCCCATAGTGAAGACGTAGCCAGAGAACAAGTTTGTTTAAAGTTGCGCAATGCTCCCTTATAACGTTGTTTGGCAGCCGCCTGCTTTGTCCACTGCTTGCAGCAAGAGCAGCCCGTTGGAGCGAGCTGATGGGGGCTTGGAACCAGGGTGAACCGGCAGCCCCCCATCAGCTCCCCTAAATTCACTGTGCAGCAGTTGCCCAGCAGGCTACCAATTGCCAGCAGTTCAGAGTCCCTCCTCCCACTGCCCTGTGCTGCTCCTTCCCTCTGCCTTGGAGCTGCTCCCAGGAGCCTGCTGCTTGTCTGTGCGGCGTTGGGGGGAGAGGGGTGCTCTCCACAGAGACACAGACAAGCTGGGAGCTGCATGATGCTTGGCCAGGCTGACAAGGTTTCCTGGGTTTTGCAAAGATTTCTGTTTACTTTGACTGTGCTAGATTTTGCCTGCAGATTAGAGACAGGGTGTGATGGACGCAGGAACAGATGAGACATCGTCGACTTCCTGTAGCCCGGATGTTGGAGGAAGCGCTGAGGGGCCCCTCGCTGCCCCCATCATGGCGTCTGCTCTCACTGTCCTCTTCCTCAGTGAGTATCGGAGACAGCCAGGGCTTGTGTCCATGGGCAGGAGGGAATCTGAGACCAGGGAATGTGCCCATGGGGGGGATCTGAGACCAGGGCGTGTGCCCTTGGGGTGGGATCTGAGACCAGGCCATGTGCCTATAGGGGGATCTGAGACCAGGGAATGTGCCCATGAGGGGGTGGGATCTGAGATCAGGGTGCATCCCCGTGGGGGAATCTGAGACCAGGGCATGTGCCCATGCTGGGGATTTGAGACCAGGTCATTTGCCCATGGGGGGAGGGATCTGAGACTAGGACATGTGCCCATGGAGGGGAGGGGGATTTGTGACTAGGGCGTGTGCCCATGGGAGGGAGATCTGAGACCAGGACATGTGCCCATGGGGGGGATCTGAGACCAGGGAATGTACCCATGGGATGGAGATCTGAAACCAGGGCATGGGCCCATGAGGGGAGAATCTGAGACCAGGGAATGTACCCATGGGAGGAGGATCTGAAAAAAGAGCATGTGCCCATGAGGGGGGAATCTGAGACCAGGGCGCATGTCCACATGGTGGGGGATCTGAGATGAGGGCGTGTGCCTATGGGGGGAGGTCCAAGACCTGAGCATGTGTCCATGGGATTGGATCTGAGACCAGCACATGCAACCAGTTGAAAGGTTGGCTGTAGGCGTTTGTCAACCTCACAACATATTTCAGTAGCACACACAGCAATGCTTCATAACTTCCCATACAATGATAGCACATACAGTGCAACAGGGCATGAATATTCAACAGATCAAGACTTTTAAAATGATGCCTCACAAGGCAACTTTGTACCCAGCCTACCATAATTCTATTGTAGTGGTGAATATGGGGGCTCCACGGTGCTACTTTGAGGTACAGATTGTCACACTGTGGTATCACCACGGCGTGGCCAGGGCCTGGGCAGGAGGCCCGGTATCTGTGAGAAACAGACTGTGAACTTCCTTTCCCGTGCAGAGGCGGCTGTTTGTGGTGTCCCTGTGCCCACAGG